AAAAAAAAAAAAAGAATTCATTTCTTTTATGTATGCATATACCAAAATTTTTTTATCCTTTTACCTCTCGATGGGTATTTGGATTGTTTAAAGTTATGAACTATTATCAATAAATTGCTATGAACATTTGAGTTCACATTTTTATGTGGACATATGTTTTTGTTTCTCTTGAAATGTTATATCTAGGATTTGATTGTTAGCTCATATTGTAAATGAATGTTTCACTTTATAAGAAAGTGTCAATCATTTCTCCAAAGTGGGTGTATCATTTTTCATTCTCATCAGCAATATACGAGAGATACGACTGCTCTATCTCATCACTAACACTTGAAATGGCCAGTTGTATTAACAATTTAGCCACTCTAGTTGGTATGTAGTGGTATCTCATTGTAGTCTTAATTTGCATTTAATGACTATTGTTGATGACTTGTGCTATATGTTTATTGTCCATTTGTATATCTTCTTTTGAGATATGTCTGACATTTATTGGATTGACTATCTTATTATTGAGTTTTAAGAGCCTAACTGATTTTTAATACAAGTCCTTTCTTCAGATATATGTATTGCTAATTTTTTTCCCATTCTGTGGCCTGCCCTTTTATTTTAATAGTTTCTTTCAAATGACAAATTTGATGAAGTTTTTCATTTTTTGTTTTTATGGTTAGTCCTTTTTGTGTTCTAACAGAGCTTTCCCTACCCCCAAGATCATAAAGATTTTCTTCTATATTTTCTTGTAGAAGTTCTATGGTTTTATTTTTTTAATTAATTTATTTTTTAATTGGCACATATTGATTGTACATGTTTACTGGGTACAGAGTTACATTTCAATACATGTATACAATGTGTGATGATCAAATCAGGGTAATTTACATAATCATCATTGCAAAGATGTACCATTTCTTTGTGATGAGAGCATTTCAGCTCCTCTCTTCTAGCCATTTGAGAACATAAAATAAATTATTCTTATTTATAGATGGCTCACACTACTGTGGACAACTAGAACTTATTTTTCCTATCTAGCTGTAATTTTGTATCCATTAATCAACCTTTCTCTTTCTTCACTTAACCTTTCTTTTCTCCCTTCCACATCCTCTTCCCAAACTCTAGTAACCACAATTCTACTCTCTACTTCTATGAGCTCAACTTTTTTTTAGCTCCCACATATGAGTAACAACATGCAGTATTTATCTTTCCATGCCTGATTTACTTGCATTTCACTTAACATGATGTGTTCCAAGCTCATCCATGTTACCTCAAATAACAGGATTTCATTCTTTTTTATGGCTGAGTAGTATTTTATTGTGTATATATGCCAAATCTTTTTTTATCCATTCATGTGTTGATGGACTACTAGGTTGATTCCATATCTTGGCTATTGTGAATAATGCTGCAATAAACATGGTGGTGCAGATTTCTCTTTGGTGTGCTAATTTCCTTTCCTTTGGATATACATCCGGTAGTGGTATTGCTGTATCAGATGGTAGTTCTATTTTTAGTCTTTTTGAGGAAGCTTCATACTGTTTTTCATAATGGCGGTACTAATTTACATTCCCACCTGCAGTGCATAAGAGTTCTCTTTTCTCTGCATCCTCACCAGCATTAAAATAAACAAACGGGATTACATCAAGCTAAAATCCTTCTGCACAGCAAAGGAAACAATCAACAGAGTGAAGAGGCAACTGGAAGAATGGGAAAAAATATTT